AGTCCCATTTGTTTATATATTTTTTTCTTATGTTTCTCTTGCTTGGGGAGTAATATCAGAATAAACAGTGCTAAAAGAAATGGCAGATATTTTGCTGCCTATGTTTTCTTCTAGGAGTTTTATGATTTTAATACATTTACATCTTTTTTTAATTGTTTTTCAATTACAATTGTCCTCATTATTCTCCACTGCCCTACCCACCCCCTACCTTCCACTTTCAATCCTCCCTCCTGTTGTCTCTGTCCACAGGCCCTTTACACATGTTCCTTGACTGGCCCCTTCCCCTTCTTTCCCCAGTTATCCCCCCACCCCTCCCCTCTGGCCACTGTCAGTTTGTTCTTTATTTCCACGTCTCTGTTTCTATTTTTCTTGCTAGTTTGTTTCATTGATTAGGAGTTTATTCTTGTATATGGTGTAAGAAGGTGATCCAGTTTCATGTTTGCATGTATCTGTCCAATATTCTCATCACTATTTATTGATTAGACTGTCTTTATCCCATTGTATGTTCTTGCCTCCATTGACAAATATTAATTGACGATATGGTTGTGGGTTTATTTCTGGGTTCCCTGTCCCATTGATCTATATGTCTGTTTCTGTGGAAGTATCATAATGTTTTGATTACTATAGCCATGTAGTATAGTTTGATATCAGGTGTCATGATACCTCCAACTATGTTCTTCTTTCTCAAGATTGTTGTGGCTATTTGGGGTCTTTTGTGGTTCTGTTGAAAGTTTTGGATATTTGTCTAGTTCTGTAAACTATGCCATTGTATTTTTATAGGAAATGAATGTTTGGGTAGTATGGACATTTTAATGATAATTATTTCTATGCATGAACACAGTATATACTTCCATTTATTAGTATCTTCTTCAATTTCTTTCTTCAGTGTTTTATAATTTCCCAAATAGAGGACTTTTACCTCCTTGGTTAAATTTATTCCTAGGTGTTTTATTTTTTAATGCAATTATAAATAGAATTGTTTTCTTAGTTTTCCTTTCTGATAGTTTATTATTGGTATATAAAAGTGTAACTGATTTCTGAATATTTATTTTGTATTCTGCTACTTTACTGAATTCATTTACCTGTTCTAGTAGAGTTTTTGGTGGAGTCTTTAGGGCTCTCTATTACGGCATTATGTCATCTAAAATAACCACAGTTTTACTTCTTCCTTTCTAAATTAGATGTTTTTTAAAATTTCTTCTTTATGTCTAATTGTTGTGGCTAGTATTTCTAGTAGTATGTTGTATAAGAATGGTGAAAGTGGACATTCCTGTCTTGTTTCTGATGTAAAGGAAAATACTTTTAGTTTTTGCCTGTTAAGTCTGATGTTAGCTGTGGGTTTGTGATATATGGTTTTTGTTATTTTGAGATATCTTCCTTCTGTTCTAATTTTGCTGAGTGTTTATTTAATCATAAATTGTTACTGGATTTGTGAAATGCCTTTTTTCTGCTTCTATTAATGTAATTATATGATTTTAATCCTTCATTTTGTTTATGTGGTATATCACATTAATTGATGCATGGATATTATACCAACATTTCACCCCAGAAATAAATCTCACTTGATCGTGGTGTATGATCTTTTTAATATATTGCTGAATATGGATTGCTAATAGTTTGTGAGAATGTATACATGTATGTTCATGAGGGATATTGGCTTAAATTTTTCTTTCTTTGTAGTGTCTTTAAATGGTTTAAGAATTAGGATAATGCATGCCTCGTTAAATGAGCTTGGGAGTCTTCCCTCCTCTAGAATTTTTTGGAGAAGTTTGAGAAGGACAGGTGTTTGTTCTTGTTTGAATATTTGGCAAAATTGATCTGTGTTTACAATTTTTATATCTTCTTCTTGGATTTACCCCCTTATAATTGTGTAATGTTCTTTGTCTTTTCTTACATGTTTTTGTTTTAAAGTCTATTTAGTCTGATACAACAGCTGCTACCCCAGCTTTCTTTTCATTTCTTTTTGCATGGAATGTCTTTTTCCATCCCTTCACTTTCAATCTGTATGTGTCTTTTTTTTTTTTTTTGAAGTGAGTCTCTTGTTAGTAGCATATAGGTGGGTCATATTTTTTTAACCCATTCACCCTATGTCTTTTCATTGGAGCATTTAACCCATTTACAGTTAAAGTAATTATTGATAAGTATATGTTGCCATTTTGTTAATTTTTTTTGTTTTAATAATTCTCTGTTTCTTCCTTCTTCCTTTGACCTCTTCTCTTGTGGCTTGCTGGTTTTCTTTAGTGTCTTTGTTTGGTTTCTTTTTCTCTTTATTCTTTGCATATGTTCTGGAAATTTTGGTTTGTGCTTATCATGAGATTTATATATATCATTCTATAACCATAGCAGTCTATTTTAAGCTGATAGGTATTTAATTCTACAAGGACTACATTTTTACCTGCCCCTCTACACTTTGTTATTGCTGTCATGTTTTGGATCTTTTTGTATTGTGTTTTAGTTGTTTCATACTTTTTGCTTTTGACCTTCATACTAGCTTTTTAAATATCTGATTAACAGTATTTACTAAATACTTGGCATTATCTGTGACAGTTTTTCCTTTCTAATATTTTCTAATTTCCAATTATGGCCTTTCCTTTTATGCTTAAAAAAGACTTTGTAACACTTCTGTAAAGCAAATGGTGATGAACTCCTTTAGTTTTTGCTGGTCTGAGAAACTATTTCTCCATTAAATATGAATAATAACCTTGCTAGGTAAATTATTCTAGGTTGTAAGTTTCTTCCTTTTAGCATTTTAAAGGTGCCCTGCCACCCTCTTCTGTTCTGTAAAGTTGATGCAGATAAATCAGCCGATAGCTTTAAGTGGTTTCCTTTGTAGGTAACTCATTGTTTTCTTCTAGCTCCACAGAGAATTCCGTTGGTCCCTGGAGAGCTCCCATGGCTCCCCAGCCTTCTCTATATGGTCTCTCTCTTGTTTGTTGTATCAAAAGTGGTTTGTGTATATGTGACCTCTGTGTAGGCTTTATGTGCCAAGTAGCCTTGGGAAGCCAGCTGGAGCTGAGCAGGCATTTACAGTGCCCAGTGCATGGCGGACTGGCTGGAGCAGCTCCTGGCAGGGAGGCCAGGTGCTGAGGTGAAGCCTTATTGTTCCTGTTTGCTCTCTCTGTCTGGAGAAAAAACACTTCATGCAGTATGTCTGGGATTGCAGTAGGCCAAAGCACCCAAATAAAATTCTACCTGCCTTATCCAAGTAGAGGGAGATGCAAACAATAGTGCTCATCAGCTCCTCTGGCCCGGAGATTTTCCAAAGCTCCCAGAGTGGCTCCTGCAGTTTCCCACCCTCCCTGTTTAGTCTCTTTCTCCTGTTTGTTTTTCAGAGGCCATTCATTCATCCCTCAGTTGTCCTGCAGGAGTAATTGCTCTCTCTATATGTGTCTAGTTGAGTTTGCTCTTGGGAGGCAGTGAGTTCAGCATCCTACTATGCTGCAACCATCTTGGACCTCGCTCCATAATGATTTGATATTTGTATATGTTGAGAAATGATCACCATAATGAGTCTAGTTAATATCTATAGCACATACAGTTACAAAATTTTTTCTTGTGATGAGAACCTTTAAGATCACCTCCCTTAAATGTACATTACACCCTCATGACTATTTTAGAGCTGGAAGTTTGTACCTTTTAACCACCTTCATCCATTTCACCCACTAAACTGTAGTCATTTTCCTGCAGCACGGTAAGTATCCTGTCACTAGAAATATGAAGGCACATGATGAAGAACTGTGTATCAGAGCTGTGGTGGAGTGAGAATTAATGCAGAACTGTAGGTAGAGAGTGGTCCTTTAAAGTCCATTCAGGATATAAGAATTATAATTATGTTAAAATTATATGAAAAAATTATATAAAATAGAATTATACATTTAAAATTATATCATTACATCAAAGGATATAATTTCTTGTTTTTCCACAGTGTTTCATTTCCTGAACACTGTATAACAATTTTATTAACAGTCTTTTTTTTAACTTTTCTTAGAAAAAGCAAGAGAAGTTGAATAAAGAAGGGGATATGTCCTTAAGAAAATGAAAAATCATAATGGGGACAAAGAGTAAGGCATTGGACTTCTTTCCCACATAGAATATTATTTATTCTAAAGCAGATTGTATCAAAGGCTGACTTTGAGTCCTTTCTCAATCTTTCAGTTCCATGGATACTTTGTTTTGGGCAGTTGGCCTTACCACATTATTGGGTTACATGCTATTCAAAGGTGCTTTCCCTCTGTCCCACATAGTTTGCCTCCTTTAAGCCCCTCTCTCCATGTGTATTCAGCAGGTGTCACTAAGCTCAACGACAGTATCCAGAGATGAACCTGAAAAACCTTTTCACTCAGATTAAATTGTTGAACAACATTCAATTTCCTTTAGTCAGAGACATTCCTCCCTATAAAGAGGTACAGATTATATTCTCCAATCAATGGCTGTAAGTCTGTCATATCATCAGTTACTAGGGGAAGCTGCTCCTTGAGGTGTCCACAGAATCACAGCGTTGTCCAAAATTAAAACACCTGAAAGATCACAGTGACTTCAATTGTGAGAAATTAAATAATTTCCCCAAATCTATAACACTTAGTTGTGGTACAATAAAGACAAAATTGAGGGTCTACTAACTTACAATCATCTTTCCTCCATTCCTTAAACTTCTAAACACACTCATCCATACATTCGTCAAAGTGGCTCTGTCTGCAAGTGTGAGAAATGAATAGTCCTAAAAGGCTCCAACTTGTACACACATCATTGACCAACACAGAATTGGCTCCTAATAGAGGCCCGATAAAATGTTTCTGATACAACTGAATCAAACCTTTAAAGTACTAAATTAAAAGAATCTTTTTAATGCAGGAAATTCTAATTTTCAGAAGAGGACCTTCAAACAAAATCTCTGACCAGCGATTAATGACACCGTTCACCTCTCATGCTGATTGGCTCTCAACAATGAAATTACCCAATCCAGGAACAAAGAAATGAGTTCCTTGGTTGGTATTATTTGGCTGTGGGTGGAGAAGGGTCATAGGCATCACTGAGTGAGACTTGCCTGCTCTCTGCGCCCTGCCCTCTCTGTTCTCCAGCATGGTGCGTCTGTGCTTCCCCCGAGGCTCCTGGATGGCAGCTCTGACGGTGCTACTGACGGTGCTGAGCCCTCTCCTGGTTTGGGCCAGGGACACACCACGTAAGTGCATACCTCATGGGTAAGCTACAGTGGGGTGAGAGAAGGAAAGGGTTAGCTTTGTCACTCTGTCCAGGCCATGTCCCTTAGAAAACCATGACATTTTCTTCAGTGACCACCCCTCTTTATCATATGGATCCCCAATTCTTTCCACAGCAAAAGGAGCCTGGGTGCTCGCCCTCTACCAGAGCTTTGTAGGGGGCTCCATTTATATAGGTCGTTTCTTCTCAACTCTCCTCCAGTAAAGCCTTGTATTCTATTCCCTCAGGGTCTTGAGAGGATTTAGAAACAATGATTTCAAAGTAATTTCTATCCAATGGTTGCATTTATTACATTGAATTATCCCAAAAAGAGAAATTTTTTTCTGAAATTTTATAGGAAGTCAAAAGAAATTAGAATGGTCTCTGCTAGAAAATCCCATTTTATGTCCTCTACAGAATCTGTGATGTGGGTGCCTCTCTCTAATATGTGAGGGTGCATCAAAGGGCCTCCCCCACTTTCTCCTTTCCTTTCTCCCTGAACCTCTATGTTTATAAGGCCTGTGTCCCTATAATGGAGGTTCTCTCACACAAGTTGGGGTTAGTGCTCTCTATTCCTCTTGTGGGAACCCCCCTGGAGCTGAAGCAGAGAGTCTTGGTACTTGGAATGGCCCTACAGATAAGGAGCATCTGGCCAGGTTAGTGTTCATTATGAATCTGTCTTGAACCTTTCTATACTATCAGTTCCTCTCACACCTCCCCTTCCCTGGCCTGAGTCCACATGTAGGGATTCAACTAGAGATAAATTGTATGAAATTCTCTTTTTTAAGTTAAAAATATTCAAATATTAGCAATTTCATAGGTTCAAATTGTACACCCTGAGCAGGAGTATAGAGTGTGAAGGCTGCTTACATCCCATGGGGCTGAAAGTCAATAATCAAGTCAAGTCTCCTGGAGTCTTGGCCCCGAATGTCACAGGTGCATTCATCCTGCCCTCTGTTTTCCTCCATTAGCCACGCTTGGTTACCTCTACTTCCGGTCCCTCCCTACTCTTTCCCTGGCTATGCCATCACTATTCCAGGGATCCCAAAGTTCACACACACCCTCAGCACTGGAACAGATCCATAGACAAGATAAAAAAATGTAGTCATATTTTCCCTTTTTAAAAAGGTCACCCTTTTCTTACTGGTGAAAGTTTCTTCTAGCAATAGAAAGAGAAAAAAGTTTGTTTGGATTTCTCACAGAAAGTAGAAGGCATATAATGTGTCATCCAAATAAAAGAGTGTGTAGGAGCTTGAGCTGCTCTGCTTTCCAGGATCCCCACAATGATCAACTTCCAGAACCCGGGTCCATTCACTTTGGTCACAGATATTTATCTGAGCAACTGTTATTCAATGGATTCTGTTCTAAGCTCAGGGACTCTTGCTTGAATATAGTAGAAAGTCTCCTATTATCATAGAACTTAGCTAATGTCTGAGGAGAAAGACAATAACCCAATAAATATTTAAGAAATAAAAAAAAGTTCAGAGAGCAATAATTGCTCTGAAAAATAATACACCAGGGTTATGGGACAGAGAAAATCAAATTTACCTGACTCCAGTTGAAGTGGTTAGGGAGCTGTCCCTAAGAAAATGATGTTTTGTTGTGACTTGAATGATGAGAGAAGCCACTGTGTAAAGATCTAAGGGACAAGCATTCCAGGGAAGGAACAGGGAAAGGCCAAAGGGTGGGAACACGTTTGCCATGTTTAAGGGACAAAAAGAAGGCCTGTGTGGCTGAGGCACAGCGGGGAAGCCGGGGGTGACATTGACATAGGAAGAGGGGGGAGGAGGGGGAGACAAATGATACTGGGCCCTGATGGCCGTGGTAGGAAATCCGAATTTTAGCTGAAGAGATAGGTGAACTACTGGAGGGTTACAAGGAGAGTCCACTTATATTTGTTTTTTAAAAAAAATACCTCTAGCCGCCATGTGGAGACTGAGTTGCAGGGGTTTAGAGTGGAGTCAGGGAGGCTGTTAGGAGCATGGACGCGTTCTCCAGGGAAGGCGTGCTTGGGGCTTCATTCTGCGTGGCAGTGACAAAGACAGTGGTAAAGGTAAGGTGAGAAGATTTGGGGTAGATGTTTGCATGCCTTCTAAATGGACAAAATGGGGGAGGAGCACAAAATCAAGCTTATCTGTAAGGATTTGTCTTAAGTAATTTGAATAAACTTGGTGGTGCTGTTTATCAAGATAGGGAAAACTGTAGAAGAAAATAATTTGAAGTGGGTGATAAGGGATAAATATTTTGTTTAAGTTCAAAATGACTTTTTTAAATTTATGTGAATCTGTCAAGGGGTCAGTTGAATACAGGTGCCTGGAGTCCAGGGACTGGCCAGGGCTGGAGGTGTATATGTTGGTGTCATTGAGACATGCGCTGTGTTAAAGTCCAGGAAAGTGGAGGAGGTCACACAGTGAGGGAGCGAGGGTGTGAAGCAGACGAGAAGATGGGACGGGCTGAGCCCAGAGGACCGAGGCCCACTGCGTCAGCCGAGGGGACTGAGAAGGGGTGCCAGTGCTGTTGAGGAAAACCGAGAGCGTGCGGTGCATGGAGGTGAAGGGAAGCCAATTTTCCCAGAGTGAGGAGTGGCCAGGTGTGGTGAGAACCACTAGCAGGTGGGGAAGCGAGAACATGCAGAGGAGTGAGCACTGGGTTTAGCAGATATGATGTGTATAGTCAGCGAATTGTACAAGATGGAAACTTGGTTGGACCATTTCAAGAAAGGGAACTGAAGGTATGAAGGATGGATTACAGGTGACTCTTTTGAGTAGCTGACCTCAGGTGAGACTGTGCTCTAGGATCAGGGAGTCACCTGGACCTAAAGCACAAGAATAAAAGAGACTGAAAAGAAGCTGGAAGGATGTGAGAACCAGAGATGTTCAGTCAGCAGCAAGGAACCGCTAGAGTGATCTTGAATACAGGTGTGACTGGTTATGCAAGAAGCCATCAGTTACACAGCCAATATTTATTAGTGACTTAAAATAGATCAGTTATCACCCAAGATAATGAGGACAGAGTCATCAACAAAACAAATCTGGTCTCATCAACATGGAGCATCATAACATTTTGCAGTTACTATGTATCAAGCTTATAAATTTGAGTATGTTTGTATCTCATAACTATCCTATCTTTATTTAAAGATTTTATTTATATATTTTTAGAGAGGGGAAGGATGGGAGAAAGGGAGGAAGAGAAGCATCAGTGTGTGCTTGCCTCTCAAGTGCCCCCTACTGGGGACCTGGTCTGCAACCCAGGCATATGCCCCAACTGGGAATCGAACCAGCAACCCTTTGGTTTGCAGACTGGCACTCAACCCACTGAGCTACACCAACCAGGGTGTGTAATTTTCAAAACTATCTTACCTTATCTGCAGTAATTAAAAGTGTAATAATCTATGGAATTTAAATTCAAAGTTTAAATAAATTACCAAGAGTCACATAGTTGTAGAACCCAGATTATATAGTCTCTCAGTATCTAGAAAGTTTCTCTCTTCTATGTCAGCATAACTCACATTGTTCATATATGTCCCATTATTATACATAAACCAAATTTCTGCCCTTATGTGTTCAAAATGCTATTTAGTGATAAAATTAATTAAAGACAATTGCCAAATGATGATGAAGATATCATTTGCTTTAGGAAATTAAAAAATAAAAAGATCTTGTGAGTTTGCATTCATAGGGATTATAAGAATTAAAATAGCAATGTATTTTAGTAATTATTATATGATCAGCACTATTTAATTTCACACTTAACAATACCCTGTGTGGAATATACTATCATTAAATCTATTTTAGAGATAAAAAAAAAAAAAGGCTCATGGATGTTAAAATCTGACCCAAGTGGAAGAACTAATGTTCAAATGTAGATTTTCTAATTCTAAAATTTGAACTTCTAACCACCACTAGGGAACAGTGGCTTGGTTTAGTCTAAATTACTGATGAAATCTCTGATGTTCACATGTGCCAGTGTGTGTCGTAGGGTTGAGGGCAGACAGCTGCAAGGGCTGCTAGTTCCAATGTATAGGAGAAACACATTCATTTTGCATTTATAATTTTAAAGATTCCATATGAGCTCATACTATGTGCAGACTATCATGGGCATGTGAGGAAGAACACAAAGAAATATTAAATACACTCCTTTTTCAGAAATTTTATTAGCAAATTGGGCTAGGGTTGGCACATAAAATACTAGATGCCCAATTATGTTTGAATTTCAGGGAACCTGTAATTATTTATCTGAAATCCAAACTTAACTGGGCACTCTGTATTTTTATTCACTATATTTGGAAACCTTAAGTTGGGCAGTGAACAAGGACCAACAGTGCTAACCATACAGGCTACAATGAAGAGCAACTTCACACATTTTTATTTTTCAGCTTTCTCATGTGTCGAGAAGGCACTAGAGGATGTGTGAATAGACCTGGTCTGACCAGCGTGCCCTCCCCTCTGCCATCATTTCTAAGTGAAGCTCTCTACTCAGAGTCTGGGGATCTGCTCATTTTTGTAAATGCTCTATATGACAATGTCATCCTAGTTTCTCCCCTTCTGAAGGGAACTGACTGTGAAAATGAGAGTTCCACATCTGGCTGAGGCTGGTCATTTGATGTCTCCTGGTATTACTGGGAGCAGAAGGCAGTTAGAAAATGTATTAGCTGGGACATTGAGCAGGAATCAAATGGCTGTGGCTAGTTTTCTACTGTAGATAAGTGGTGGGCCAGTGGCAGAGAAATTAAGACAGAAGATGATGTGAAGGATAAATTGTATGACTTAGTGATTGGCTGGCAAGGCAAAGAAATAGGTAAACCTTGGTCTGAACAAAATTTTGCTAAAAAATTTACTGTGCACTGGGGCTAGATTGCCAAAAAGATACAAATTTCATACAGGACCAAGATTTTCAACAGATAAAATACTGATAGAACTTTGTATGTAATTCTCAGCTGCTCCATAATTCACACGACTTTTTCACTACTGATTTTTCAGCTGGTTCACAGCGGTGGAGCTCACCCTGTGAAGGTTCACCACCCCTGCCCCTTCTTCCCACCCCCGAACATGTGATAGTATCTGGGCCTTGTCTGGTTGTTACCCTGGGGGTTTCTTCTGACAACTAGTGGGTAGAGAGGCCAGGGATGCTGTTTACAGCCCACCCACCCCAACCACAAAGCATTATCTGGTCCAAAATGTCAATAGTGTTGAGGTTGAGAACACTGCTTTATACTCGCTGTTTCTAAAAATTCTGGACTCAAAATTTATACACACACACTCACCTTCCAATTCAGTTCTTCATGGTTTATTTTTAGCTCATTACAAAAACAAAACAAAACAAAACCCAGAACGTTATACAAATTTCACCATTTTCTTGTTAAATCCATTCAATCGATGGAAGTTTAAAATCCTCATTTTTACTGTTTGCCTTATGCAATGTTTTTCAAAGTTCCATGGGTTCTTGATCATCACATCTCTAACTTTCAACAACTTGTCTTTTCAAGTCACAAAACTTTTTCAGTAACATGTCTCAAATTTCTGCAGTAATTCTACTTTCCACACTATTGATGAGATCAGAAGCCTCCGTTTATTCCTCTCACGTTGGACCATCGGTTTATTCTTCTGGTTTTCTGAGCTTTCTAGATTTGGAAATGCAGAAGGGAGTTGCGCGCCTATTGGGAGGAAGGTTTAAGCTCCGTCCGACTGGTCAGTAGGTTCCCGTTCCGTTCGGCACCGAGTCCCAGCCTCGCTCGCCCGCAGGCTCCCCGCACGCGTCCGCCCACCGCCGCAGCCCCGTCTCCGCCTCCGCCCTCTCCCCCGGCCTCCTCCGCGAACCCTCCGCCTGCGGCTGCGGGAGGAAGTTCGCGGCCTCTTTCCGGCTCTGGCTCGGGGTGCCGCCTTTCCCTGCCCTGTGCCTCCGGTCCCCAAACCTATACTCACGCCCGTCTTCCTCCAGCTCCCACCGACTCAACCTTCTTGCCACAGGTTCAGGGTCACTCAGAGGCCACCTCTTGTCTCCCGGAGGTAATTCCGGTCCTGTCATTATTCTCTTCGCTCCGCACTTTCCTCCCGACAGCTCTCACTCCTGTCTGAACGCTCCTGGGGTCCGGTCCTGACCGGGGGAGCTCCCGACGGCGGGGAGCTGCCCGTTTCCTTCTCCGGGTTCCCCGGGGCGCAGGGCCTGGCACGGGGTCCCACCCACCGAGAGGTCACAGGCCGAGGCGGAGGTGCTTAAGGAAGCGGACGGGGCGGTGCTGTGGGGCGAGAGGAGGGGGAGTGGCGGTCTCTCGGAGGAGGGGGTGACGGCGCAGACCCTCGCCCCGCAGGGAGTCCTGCAGCCCCGCAGGGGAGTCGAGTGGGCCCCCCGGGGCTGAGGAGCCGAGGGGTCTCCTCTGCCCTCCGGCCCCAGAGGAGAGGGGGCCTGTGGGTGCTGGCAGGCAGGGTGCCCGCCTTGGGCTGCGTCGCTGTCAGTCTCTAACCCGTGTGACCTCCCGTTCCTGTCCCCACAGCACATTTCTTGCAGCAGGGTACGGCCGAGTGTCACTTCTTCAACGGGACGGAGCGGGTGCGGTACCTGCACAGACACATCTACAACGGGAAGGAGGACGCGCGCTTCGACAGCGACGTGGGGGAGTACGTCGCGGTGACCGAGCTGGGGCGGCCGGACGCCGAGAGCTGGAACCGGAACAAGGACGACCTGGAGCGGGCGCGGGCCGCGGTGGACACGTTCTGCAGATACAACTACGGGGTGTCGGATGGATTCCTGGTGCATCGGCAAAGTGAGCGCGGCGGGGGGCGGGGTGTGTGCGCGTGTGCGTGTGCGTGTGCGTGTGCGTGTGTGTGTGTGTGTGTGTGTGTGTGTGACTGTGAGAGACCCAGGTGTGAGGGGGCCTGTGAGGGCCCGGTCGGGGTCGGGGGACGCAGTGCGATGGTGGCCTGTGTCAGGGACCCCGACTGTGCTGTCCAGTTGTGGCGAAGGTCGCGGGCAGCAGAGGGAAGGCGGGCAAAGGTCGGGGAGATGTGAGGAGGGGAGTCACCACCTGTCTTGGCCAAACCCGTCTGAACCCTGAACCCCCGGCACAGGGTCATGTGTTTGTTGCGTAAGCATTTCCTTGAGAAGAAGGATCAGGCTAAGTTTTGAGGGGTCGGGGGCCTCTGAGGCACCTCTGATCTCCCTGAGGCTTCTTTCAGGTCTTTCTTGCTTTTTTTCTTTAGTGTACATATTTTTATGTGGTTGAAATGATTGTAAATTACAATTACAATTTTGTTACCTAAATTACATATGGATGTAATTTTGTTACCATTACATATGGATGTTAGGAAACAAAATGAATGAAAATTTACAATTTTATTACCTTTGTTAGGTAACAAGATGAATGAAAATTTACAATTTTGTAAATGATTGTAAATTTTCAATTACAATTTTGTTAGCTAACATATGGATGTTACTATTTTTATAATGCTAATAGTACAATATTTAAGTAGTTACACATTATCTTTTCATAGTTGTGACAACTTATCTCACATTCTGAATGTTTTCAATATTACCAAATAGTTGAAATTTTATTTGTTTTTATTTTTAATTTACACTTCTTTGATTTTATTGTCTATCATCTCTGGGGGCCTGGTGTTTTTCTCAGTGATTTTATGGGTTCCCTATGCAGTAAGGTGAACACTTTGCCAATGTTTGATTCATCAGTTTTTCCAGTTCCTGGTATGTATTTTGTTTCTGCTTTATGACTTTCTGTATTTAGAATTTAGACATCTTTAATGTAATGAAATGTACTGCAAAGTTAACAATGCTTTACTATTAATTTTAAATTTACCAGTTTGTACTATTGTAAAAATGTTTTTTCCCAGGTTTCTTCTCCTCCTTTTCTTCCTCCTCCTCTTTCTTCCTCTCTACCTCCTTGCTCCACCTCCTCCTCCACTGTATTTATTAAGCTTGATCTCAGGCAGGAAGCACACATATTAATGAGTCCCGGTCCCTACCCTGAGCTCAAATGTCAACTTAAAAAGAGAAATAAAAAATATATAATTATAAAATGGTAACAATTCCAATAATAGATATGCTTCTTTTGAAAAGGAGGAGGCTTGCTCAACTGAGTGTAATTATAAGAATTTTTTAAAAGATTTTATTTATTTATTTTTAGAGAAAGGGGAAGAGAGGGAGAAAGAAAGGGAGAGAAACATCAGTGTGTGGTTGCCTTTCATGTGCCCCCCACTGGGGACCTGGCCTGCAACCCAGGCATGTGCCCTGACTGGAAATTGAACCAGTGACCCTTTGGTTCGCAGGCTGGCACTCAGCCCACAGAGCCACACCAGCCAGGGTAATTGTAAGAATTTTTAAATGAATGGCTTTCCTTGCTCCTTCCCCTCTCCTTCAGGACTCTTGCTTTTCTGGGGACTCAGAATCACCTGTGTCTTTCCTGCTTCCCAGGTAGAACAGGATCTGTGATGTTCTCAGGTGCGAGGGTTGCATTCCCAGGATTTCATACCCTGTGTCCCCACCTTCCCCAAGCTGTTCCCCGGTTTATCCACACTGCTTTGAACTATGTTTTCTCTCCAAGTGGAGAAGGGTAATAAATAGCAAACATATGTTGATGGCTAAGTTCCAGTCATTGTTCTACATATTTTAAATCCATTGATCCTCATATATCCTTAAGAGGTAAGTTAGTATTATTGCCCCCCTTTATAGGTAAGAAAGCTCAGGCACAGATGAATGTAAAAATTCTCCTAGAAGCAACCAGTAAGAGGCAGAGCCTGGATTTGACCTCAAGCAGCTGCACTCTAGAAGTCACACTTTTAATTAATACGTTATATGCCTTGAAAATAGTTGTAAATGCTTCAATTCAACAATGAATAACTGCTTCAAGGTATTAAAAACCCCCACAAATTTCCTCCACCTCTCTTGGATCTGCTGGGCCAGTGCTGTAGGAATAGATCCATGGCTCATGGCGCTAACGCCTGCTGGGCCGCAAGGCCAGCTCTGAGGGAGGCCTGCCTGAGGCTGAAGGGCAGCCAACCGAGGTAGCCTTCCTCTGTGTCCCTGATGTTCCCCCCACCTTTTCTCTCCTAGCGGAGCCTACAGTGACTGTGTATCCTGCAAAGACCCAGCGGCTGCAGCACCACAACCTCCTGGTCTGCTCTGTGAACGGTTTCTATCCGGGCCGCATTGAAGTCCGGTGGTTGCGGAACGGCCAGGAAGAAGAGGCTGGGGTCATCTCCACAGGCCTGATCCGGAATGGAGACTGGACCTTCCAGATCCTGGTGATGCTGGAAACAGTTCCCCAGGGCGGAGAGGTCTACACCTGCCAAGTGGAGCACCCAAGCCGGACGAGCCCTCTCACCGTGGAATGGAGTGAGAAGTGTTCTGACCTCACACAGGCCTCACCCACCATAGGGACTTTGCTTATCCCTGAGCATCAGGGTTCTCCCTCCCCACACCATGTTTTTATTTGCTCGTGTTCTCTCCTTCAGCCCAGGTCACTGAGGGTAATATCCCTGTGATAATTAATACTCTATAAATACTTAGAGTTCTTAGGGAGGCCATTGCTCTTGGCAGTCAAAAGAGAGGTTGTCCTTATGAACTTTCCCACGATGTCACAGGTCATGTTCCTCCTTAGTCCTGGGCACCAGTCCCCTGCCTTGGGCTGGGCTGGTACTTCTGCACTGTTGCTCTAAATTGTCCAATGAGATCTGAGCAGAGGTACATCCTCCACAACGTAGGGACCTTCCTGACACGGGGAGAGCTCAGTCTGCTCTGCCGTCCCTTAGCCCTGTCACCCTCGACAAGGACTCCACCTTATTGAGTCCCAGGCTCCGCATCCATCAGATATTGAAGTAGTGGCCTTATGTCAGGGCCGTGATGTTTAAATGAGTTCAGTGCCTGGACCCTCTGTCTCCTCAGTGTGATTATAAGTCTCTTTTCCAGAAATGGCCAATTGTTCTGGTTCTTCTAGGGAAGCCTCTTCCCCACTCTCAAAGCTCCCAGTCCCAGAGTCTCAATCAGAGAAGTTGGATTTGGGATAAAAATCACTAAAACCAGTTTCTTCCCTCAGGGGCACAGTCTGAATCTGCACAGAGCAAGATGCTGAGTGGAGTTGGGGGCTTCATCCTGGGTCTGCTCTTCCTTGGGGCGGGGCTGTTCATCTACTGCAGGAATCAGAAAGGTAAGGAACCTGCTGGCAGCTGAAGTTCCCACAGACTGTATGGGAGAAGAAATGTGACTTTGCTCGAGTTAGTTCTCTGTATATCAGTGGCCCCGTATAAAGCCTTTCCCTGGTCGATCTCAAATTTCCTGGAAACCCAGAAATAAATAGTTCATGGTTTCTTATGGTTGAAACGTAAAGAATTATGGCCTATATAGGTCAGAGAAGGGTTAACATGCATGGGTGTTTGGGTCAAGATCCTGGAATAGATGAAGGAACAGGCACTATAGTTCATAAACTTGCACTGGATTTGTGTGGCAGAAGCTTCATGGGTCACAGCTCTCAGCTTCTGCTCTCTCTACTCTGGTATCATGTGAGGTGGGTTGTGGGGTTAGAGAAATGTCAGGTGGTCCTGGGCAGGGGCCATTGTGTTTACCTTCATGTCTTTTAAGTCTGTATCTTCCTTCTCTTTCCCAGGACACTCTGGACTTCAGCCAACAGGTAATGCTCTTTAATCATATTTTAAAGACATATTCGGTCTCCCTAGAGCAGAATGTAGAGGTGACAGCAATAATCGGGAAGATTTTGGATCTGACCTCAGGTCAGGCAGTTTACACCAAAGCTTCTCACCACTTAATAAGAGGCTTGCTCTAGAGTAGCTTTGGCTCAGGGTGACCTGAGAACTTTTCTTCTTCTTATGTTTAGAGCTGTAGCAGGAGGCCCTGGAGGGAGGGAAAAAAGCCGCTCGTTGGCTAGGTCTGGAAACAGCACTCCCCTCTGTCTGCAGGACTCCTGAGCTGAAGTGCCAATGGTGACGCTGGTGATACTGCAGGAAGAAAGAACCTTCTGTCCCGGCTTCTTTGCAGCATGGAAAGTTTTCCTACTTGGCTCTTACTCCACAGAGAGAGCGCTTCCTCGGGATCTGCTTACGTCCAGGTTCAGTGACCCTGCAGGACATACCCTCCCTGCTGGCCTCCTCAGCCCCTGCCCTTGACCTGGAGGTCCCAGTATCCCCTGCAGTGCTTTCTTACCTTCCTTCCTTTTCCACTCCCTTTGTATTCAACCCTTACTGTCTCCTGTGCACCTGAATTCACCCTGTGCCCACATTTCTTTATAAAATTTTCCTCAATTAAATATGGAGTGAACATCATCTGCTTCATATGGCTTCAAGAACAAGAAGTGGAAAGAAAAGAGAAAGAGAGGATTTCATTACAATACCATAATAATTTTCATTTATAGTCCTGAAGTTTGGTCACATGGGGATCTGGAAGATTTCCTTGTTTCCTTCCATGCTTTTTCATGAGTTTTCTGCACTCTGTGATGAGGCATGTTTCCCTGAGCCAGGAGAAAGCCTGCAGTACATGGTGGTCTCCTACGTCTTGTTTCTCAAGGACAAACACACAACTCCCTTCACAGCATATAACGCAGGAAGGAAACAATAAGTAAAGGAAATGCAGGTCACTTGCACAGATGTGATGTCTTCAAAATTTTTATAATCATGTTCTTCAGTCTTTTTTTTTAAAAGAAAGTGTCTAGGCTTGGGTGCTTATAATTTCTGAAAACTTACTGATTTTAGAGAGGGAGGGGAAGGAAGAGAAAGAAACATATATCAACTTGTTTTTCCACTTATTTATGCATTCATTTGTTGCTTTTTAAAATTTATTGTTGTTCAGTTACAATTGTCCTGCCTTTTTCCCTATCGATCACCCCTACCCGCTTCCTCCCCACTCCCACAGTCAATCCCCACCCATTGTCTGTGCCCATGGGTTCTCTATTCCTGCTCCTTGCCCCTTCCCTTTCTTTCCCCCATTATCCTCCTCCCCCTTCCCCTCTGGTCATTGTCAGTTTGTTCTTTATTTCCAAGTCTCTGGTTCTATTTTGCTCATTTGTTTTGTTGATTAGGTTCTACCTATAGGTGAAATCATATGGTATTTGTCTTTCACTGCCTGGCTTATTTCACTTAGCATAATGCTCTCCAGTTCCATCCATGCCGTCATGAAGAGTAGGAGCTCTTTCTTTCTGCTGTGTAGTATCCATTGTGTAAATGTACCACAGTTTTTTGATCCACTCATTTACTGATGGGCACTTAGGCTGTTTCCAGTACTTGGCTACTGTAAATGATGCTGCTATGAACATTGGGGTGCATGGGTTCTTTTGAATTGGTGTTTCAGGATTCTTAGGGTATAATCCCAGCAGTGGGATCACTGGATCAAAAGGCAGCACCATCTTCAGTTTTTTGAGGAAATTTCATACTGTTTTCCACAGTGGCCATACCAGTCTTCATTCCCACCAACAGTGTACTAGGGTTCTTGCATGTGCCCTGACCAGGGATCAAAACAGCAACATTGGTGTATTGAGATGATACTCCAACCAACTGAGCTACACAGCCAGGACAAACCTGGGTACTTCTTGAAGTCTCCTTTTATTAGACTAATTGTGGGCTTCAATACTTCAGTCTTTTTCTGTCAGATAAAAATCAGTCCTCTTTGCCTTAAGATGCACCCTTATCGGTAAATAGATCTCAGAGGCATTAGGACAAAGCACAACTCGTGGAAAAGTTGGACTTCTGAGTCCCTCCAGATTGTGTGACAAACTGAATGGCTGTCACAGGAAACTGCTGTGTGGATCAGATCTTAGCATAAATCAAAGACAATGCTGAGAAATGGGGGAGTGTAGGAATCCACTGAAATACCATCCAAACAATGAAACATTCTGCAATGGGAGGGAAAATAAGAGTACTCTGTTATGGAATAATCTTCAAAATGGGTTTGGAGCAAGGAACAGGAGTGTTTGCATAGTATATGACATAAGTTTTTAATAAAATAGAGGATAATAGGAATACATAGCTATACCTATTCTCTCTCTCTCTACCTATATTTGTAAATAGAAACAATGGAGAGTTTTAAAAAATGGTTGCCTGTGGGGTAAAATGAGGATTGATGAGGTCAGAGATAAAAGGTAGACTTTTAAAATATATCTTATTTCATAATTTTATCTTGAGAAACATTAAAATATTGTATATAATAGAATGTTTAAATCAAAATTTCTAAAAGATAATTCATAAAAACTGAAAAGAAACAATTGAAATGATCTTGACAAACATAATGAAAGCAAGTAAGCAAGAGGATTAATGAAAACAAGCTAAAAAAGTAAATCGCAACTTTTTGATCCTTGCATAAAGCATTATGAAACTGTAATTATAAATCAATATATAGTTCTATATTCCATAGACTTTAATAATATAAGCGAATTGGACAGGTTTCAGAGAAAGTCAACTAATGTGGTTAGAAGATGAGTTCTGCTCGTGTTTCATTTGAATAAGTTAAAATGTGAATCTAAAATCTGAAGAATAGATAAATGATTCAGAAGTTTATTTAAAAGGAATAGTTGTTTGAACACAATTTCTCTACTGTCAGAGACAACTATTTTATTTTCAAGCAAATTTAAAAATTATTTTATGCATATTTTAATTATATCGTGTATTAGTTGTGTGAAAGGTTATCATCCTGCCAGAACTTAGTAAGCTGATAATAACATCTGCAATATGCCTGCACTTGAGACAAATTCCGTTTAAACCCAGTTTTGCAATTTTACTCTTGCTTTGTTCTCTGAGATGAAGAAGTGAGTTATGTCATTTTATTTGAGACCTGTGGTATGAAATTATAAGGTAAAATTAAAGTATATGGTATGAATATTTTAATAAAGATGCTTTCTGCTAATAGTAGAAAATCTAACATAATTTGCTCTATTTTTTTAATCGTATTATCTTACAGAGAAGACAGACCCTAGAGCAGCATCCCCAGAGCTGGTCAGTTCATCAGGCCAGGGGTATCACCCATGAGCCTGGGACTGTGTACCTCCTACCTCTACTATGCACGTCAGTGCTTCTAACAGGATAGTAGAATGCCTGCAGCAGCTTCGGGCTTCCTATTCTCTCACAACAACTTCCACAGGTGGAAAAAGAGAACTGTTTTTCTTATAATGAGTCTTCCCAGTGGGCCCATTTCCCACACATTAGGAGGATCCTGGGACCACAGCTGTAGACTCAGACAAACCATGGCTCACCCATTCCGGGCCGGGCCTGCCTCTCCTGGTGCACGTGGGAAGGAAAGGAGCAAATTCATGTTTTCTTTAGAAAGAAAGAAATGGTAGACAGGGCAGGGAAGAATGATTTTAGGGTACAGAAGCTATAGCTACAAAAAGCAAATTTGTAGATTCAGAAAGCAGAGCAAGACCCAGAAAGTCTTGGAATGGGGATGGGAATTAATTGAAAGTAAGGAAATTTTGGGGGTGGTAGATATGTTATAAAACTTGATTGTAGTGATATCTGCACACATTTATATATTTACTAAAATCATTGGATTTTTTGAAATCCTCACCCAAGGATATGCTTACTGATTTTAGAGAGAGGGGAAAGAAGAGAGAGTCAAGAGGAAACATTGATTTGAAAAAGAAACATTGGTTGGTTGGTTGGTTGCCTCCCACCTGGACTGCGGACCAAGCCTGAAATCTAGGTATGTCCCCTGACCAGGGATAGATCCTGCAACCTTTTGGTGAATGAGACAATGCTCCAACCAACTAAGCCACCTTGCCAGGGCCTAAAATTGTTGAATTTTACACATATAAAGAGTGAGTTTAGTGTTATGTAATTTATACCTCAATAAACCTGTTAAAAACAAACTTTTTAAAAAAGAAGTCTTTGTAAACAAGACAAAATCTCAAAGACATACCCCAAAAATATATTTGAATAGAAAGTTTTTTTGCATGGAAAAATTAAAATTAAAATAAATATGTAAAACTCAGGAAAAATGCAACACACAAGATAGACAGTGGGTCTATTTACTATATAAAATTTCCAACAACTCAATAAATAAATTAACAACCCCCCCCAAAAAAATTGGGCAATGCATAAACTACTTACAAAAGAGAATATATTAATGGCGAATGAACATAAATATTTATTAAAACTCACAAATAATATGAAAAATGCAAATTCAAATAACAATGGGATTAAATATTTTCCTCCAAATTGTTTACCACACAATTGTTTTTTACATTTCTACCATACTATTTAGTATATTAGTTTTTTACTTTAAGTCATGGATTTATAAGTATCTATGGGAATGGATTCTCTCAGACACTGCTGTGAGGATCCTGAGTGGGTGGCAGTTTAGCCGTAACTATTATAATTAAAAATGCAAATGCTACATGACTAACAACAATGAACATTCATGTTTAGCCTATTAAATAAATAATACTACATGAGCCCAAGCAGACATAAAATTCAAAAAAAAATTTTTTTTTGCTCCAGGACTTGGGATAATAAAAACATTTTCAAATTCTAAAATAAAAACTAATGTTTATCTTGACTTTTACATTGAAAGACTGTAAAATATGTGAAAGGGCAGCATGCTGCTAGATGGTACTTGGGTATCACACATTGGTACACCCCTCCTGATAGTTTGGATAATCCAATACCTCCAGCCCAGGTGTTTACAGCCTATAAATTCTCACATATATGCCCAAGATAACATATAAAAATGTAATAGAAGAGGAAAAAAACCTGAGTTTTCAGATAAGAGAACAGATAAATTATGGTATAGTCATGCATAAGAATTATGGGGGACTCCAGCCCGCGAAGTCCCTGGATTCACCGCAGATGGAAGAATCGTTCCAGACATGGTTTACCTGTCAAGGAAAGGGCAAGGCCGTGGTTACCTCTAGTGGGGCGTGCACTGAGCCCCTGTGCTCAATGGCTTTTATTGAGAGGGTTACCAGAGGGGGATGTATAGGTAATCTGATTACATCAATATCTTAAGTTTAC